CCGGCCAACCAAGCACCATATTGAGCTGCTTCCTGGAGCGGTCCCTCCCAAGGGCCGCATCTACAGGATGTCCCCTGTTGAGCTTGAGGAGCTCAGAAAACAGCTTGAGACCCTAACCAGCAAGGGTTGGATCAGACCCAACACATCTGAATTCGGTGCACCAGTTCTCTTTGTGCCCAAAGGGAACGGCGAGTTCAGAATGTGCATTGACTACAGGGGTCTCAACAAGATCACTAGGAAGAGCACTGAGCCACTTCCTAGGATCCACGACCTGCTGGACACGGTCCAAGGATGTACGATCTTCAGCAAAGTCGATCTCAAATCCGGCTACCACCAGATTGAGATGGCAGAGGAGGATGTCTACAAGACAGCCTTCAAGACCAGGTATGGTACTTACGATTATCTGGTCATGCCATTTGGACTTTGCAATGCACCTGGCACGTTCCAGACAGAGATGCACCGCATCTTCAGGCCTTACCTGGATAAGTTTATGGTTGTCTACCTGGATGATATCCTGGTATTCANTGCACCTGGCACGTTCCAGACAGAGATGCACCGCATCTTCAGGCCTTACCTGGATAAGTTTATGGTTGTCTACCTGGATGATATCCTGGTATTCAGCAAAACTACCAGGGAACATGCGGAGCACCTGGCTCTCGTTCTTCAGTCGTTACGTGACAGCCAGTATAAGATTAACAAAGAGAAGTCCTCTTTTGGGCTTCCCTCTGTTATCTATCTGGGGCATGTAATCTCTGGAGATGGTCTGGCTCCTGAAGCAGCCAAAATTGCTGCTATTCAGGAGTGGCCACAGCCTCAGACAGTGAGAGATGTTCGGTCTTTCTTGGGTTTGGCTTCCTACTACAGAAAGTTCGTCAGGAACTTTTCTGCAGTGGCAGCACCCCTGACTAACCTCACAAAGAAAGACACTCCCTTTCTTTGGTCCCTTCACTGTCAGATGGCCTTTGCACGACTCAAACAGGCCTTGACTCGTGCCCCTGTATTGAAGTTACCTGACCCCACTTTGCCTTTTATCCTGACGACTGACGCCAGTCGGTATGGCATTGGGGCAGTGCTTCAACAGAATGATGGGAATGGTCTACGGCCCGTGGAGTACATGAGCAAGAAGATCAAAACCCAAAAGCTTCAGGACTCCACCTACGAGAAAGAGTAGTATGCTCTTGTCAGTGCCCTAAAGCATTGGAAGCACTTTCTCCTGGGAAGACACTTCAAGATCTTCTCAGATCATTCCACCCTGCAGTGGTTGAAGTCCCAAGGAGAGTTGAATGACAAGCTGGCATGCTACATTCAATTCATTGACATGTTTGACTTTGAACTGAAGCATAAGAAGGGCTGCTACAATAAGGTAGTTGATGCCCTCTCTCGTAGGTCTGACTCTTTTGCATTGATCTCCTCTACTCACTCCTTTGGAGAGGAGACCCGTCAGACCATTGCTCGCTTACTGCCTCAGGACCTGACTTATGGACCCATTGTCAGAAATCTGCAAGCTGACCCCAACTCTGAGCCTGGCTATGCTATGAGTTCAGATCTGCTGTACACCTACAGCAGAGGGGAGGAGCGCCTATGCATTCCTGAGGATCAGCAGCTTAGGTCACTGCTGATGTCAGAGTGTCATGATGCCCGTGGACACTTTGGGTTCTTAAAGTCGTATGCAGCCCTGTCGCAGCGCTTCTTCTGGAAGGAGATGCGGAGTGAGATGCTGCGCTATGTGGAAACCTGTGAGTTATGTCAGAGGAACAAGGTTCAGCGGAAACCTCCTCTAGGACTACTCAAACCCCTACCCATACCTTATGGCCCTGCTCAGTCTGTGTCCATTGACTTTACAGACTTAGGCAAGACCACCCCTCGTGGCATTCGTCAGGTCATGTTCTGCGTTGACAGGTTTTTCAAATATGCTGAGTTCATCCCCTTACCAGAGGTGGCGAGGGTCCGGGCTGTGAGAGCAGCCTTTTCTGAGAGGTGGGTCACTCACCATGGGCCGCCCACTTCCATCGTCAGTGACCGAGATCCCCGATTTTGCAGCAAAGAGTGGCAGTCCTACTGCAAGGATTATCTGCACTCTCGCTTGGACATGACTTATGGTCGACATCCTGAAGCCAATGGTCAGGCTGAAGTGATGAACCAAGTCCTGTTCCAGCTATTACGTCCTGCCATCTCGCCAGATCAACAGGACTGGGATCTCCATCTGGCTCGTGCGCAGCTTATGTATAATATGTCTGTCCGTTCCTCGACTGGGTTCAGTCCTTATCGATTACATTGGGGCCGTGAGCCACGTTAGCCTCTCGATGATATCATCGACAAGGCTAAGACAGATCTGACACCAGGCACAGCAGAGTTCACCAGACACTATCGTCTTGATGTGGAAAGAGCGCGAGCGAACTTGTTCAAAGCCCAAAAGGCAATGATTGAACAAGCTAATCGCCATCGCAGGCCTTCCCCCATTCGTACTGGTGACTATGTCTGGGTAGCCAGTTCAGAGTTGTCGAGGGAGGAGGATATCTCTCCCAAGCTGTTGCCTAAGTATTTGGGTCCGTGGCAGGTGTTAGATACAGTAGGGGCTGATCCTTTTGGTCCGTCTTACACCATTGACGTCCCTCTGCATCTACGTACCTATCCGATCTTTCATGCATCTAAGCTGCTCCCCTTCACTCCAGCTGATGCATTCCCTGACCGGCCCCCTCAGTGGGGTCCACCAATCCCTGGTAAGGGATACGACGTGGAGTCCATTGAGGATGAGTGGGGCACTAGCCCCAACAGGCAGTATCTTGTGAAGTTCGCCTTCCAACCCCCGACTGAGAACCGGTGGTACTATAGGAAGGACCTTCTCAAGACAACTAAGTCAGTTGTGCTCAGATACGAGGCGGCTCAGAAGGGTAACCTCCCTCGTCGTTCGCCTCGCCTACACCCCTAGCTCGGAGGTGCTCGCTCCCGGGGAGGGTAAGCCTGCAATGACTTGCTGATTTCTGCTGCCGAGATTAACTGCGAGGCTGTACACTAATCGGTAGGTTAGATTCGTAATTTTGTTTGGCTGAGGGCTAACCGCGAAACCTTCCTGTAAGGAAAAATTCGTGAGGGACAGATCTGCAAATCCGGGAAAATACAGGCCCGGTACTAACCGAATTCCTACAGCTACCCTAACTGCCCATAGCAGGCCCGGGCTACCCCTAGGACAGACAGGCCCTAAGCGGCCTATACTGCTAGACTGTCCTATAGCCTATAGCCGGGTCCGGTAGAGGCCGAGAGGCCGAAACAGCAACGGTACCGGTCGGTCAGTCAGTCCGGTCTAGGTCTAGAGAGTCTATAGATAGGTTAGGCCCACCGATTCAGGGCTTTT